CTGCGTGGAAGGTTAGGAATGACCTTCCGCTTCTCATCATCGTCAGTGATCTGTGATAGAGGATGCACGCCAGAGGAGAGCTGTTCCAAGACACATCCACCCGAAACGTGTGCACCTGCGACAGCTCTGCCGTTGGCGCTCCCCTGAGCCCCCTTCCGCTGCTTCTCTTAGAAGTCAGTGCTGCTGTGCGTGGGCTGCTGTCCCAGCTGAGGCCCTTGTTCCCCTTGCACGTGCTCCCTTGTCCAGAGGAAACCAGGCCTCATTCCCTTGTGTGGTTTTAATTAAATATTTGTTTTGCCACAATACTAAAGAGAATTAAAAACATTAAGCTGTTTGCATGAAAATAAACTTCATGACAATATGGCCACTTGTCTTTGAGACTCACCCTTCCCCCATATTTATTTCCTCTCTCCTCCGACGTCTCTGGAATTCTCACAGAGCAGTTATTGTTCATGGAAGCCTTCATTTGCGTCTTTCCTGAAAATGTTTCAGCTTGGCTTTTTCTTAAAACCACATTGTTCAATTAGCCCCATCCCTTGCCCTGAGAGGTTTCATCTAAATTGCTTGCTATAAGTTTATGAGAATTTTTTTTTTTATTCCCCATTGTATTTTAAACCCTATTGTTGACTTATTTAACTTAACCCTGTAACCCTTTGGGGGTAGATTGTGACAGTGGAAACACAGAGAGTGAGCGAGATGTTCTGGTTCACAGCGTGACACACTGAGAACCTGAATGGTTTGCCGCACTCTACCGAGGTAGCCAGAATATCACGGCTTCGGTCTCCGCCAAGGCTGCAGCAGGCAGGCGAAAGAAAGGGTGGGCAAGAGACAGCGCGCTGGGGCCCTGCTCCAGAGACCTGGCAGGGAGGTAAAATGAAGGTGGCAGAGTCTGTTTTAGAATGGATTCAATTTCTTACACAATTTATTTCAAGTAAAATATAAGCTATGTGACTTGAATTGATGAACTCCTTTCCATGCTGTAGGGGAAGTTGAATGTATATATTTATGAGCAGAAATTGTTTAGCGTATTTTAGGTTCGAAGGAATAGAATGTCCACAGAAACTAGACAACAAAAAGCTTTTTAGTCCCTAAAACTCATTACTGATGATTAACATTAAAATATTTATAACTGTTAGAAAAGGGGTATTACTGAGACAACTTTAGCTTGTTTGTGATGAAACATTTGTTGTGTGATATAGTTACAGTGGACAGTTCCAAACTCTTTATTCAGGAGAAATTGACACTTATTTCTAGAATGGTAGTTTGATTTCAGTTATATAACCATTACCTTTGAGACAGCGTACGCCCAAGGTAAGTGGGATATGGTCCAATGAATTTAAGCTCCAAGATACAGCTAAATACCCTTATGATTTAATAAAATCTACTTTAGATAGCATTGTGAATGCAAATTCCTAAAGTCCATTTGTACTTAGAGTAAATACATGGTTAGGAGATGTTTTGTGGTTTGGATTTATATATTTATAAGGTTTTTTAAAAAAATGTTCATTTTGTCTGAACAAAAAATGTTGTTAAATTTGATATTAGAAATGTAACATCAAATAAATTGGGGAGTTATAGGATGAGTTTTCTAGAAAGCTCTGGACATGGGTACTATGCATTTTGCTTATTTGTATAATATGTCTGCAGTTTTAAACTGTATCGCTCTGTGTATTGTGATAGTTTTTTTGTTGTTGTTTTTTAAGTTGCTAGTAAGTTGATTTCGTTGTAAAAAGTTTAAATGTATGGCAACAAAAAGCTCTTTATGCTGTTGAATGAACTTGGAGAATGCGTCAATATTTTCTTCACTGTGATGTTTTGTTTGTCCATTAAATTGTTATTATTTCCAAACTAGTAGTTTGGTTTCTCTGACTCATGGTTGGGATTTAATGGTTACTTTGGACCTCTGTTTATGTTAGATCACTGCAAACATGAACTCCCAGAAGCATTGATTCAGCTACTGCCTTTATCATATGCATGAAGATTTCAGAGCCTTCCTGCAAAGCTGATCTAACCCATCCCACTTCTAAAAGGCTTTCACACTTATAAGAAAAAAAAAAAGCAGAGGAGAAAAATTAAGGAAGATGAAACAGAAATACCTTCGTTGAGTACATTTTTCAGTTTTAATTTGTTGTCCAGATTTTGCCTAACTGCTCACCAAAATACAGCCCATTTTGGTCGGGGAGTCACTCAGCTCGTATGGTCTGGGCAAATTCTAGAAATTACCTGATATCTGAATATGACCACTTTTAAGAAAAACAGAAATAATTTAGACTATGTAGCAGTTATATGCTTATGATAATTAATGAATTGGTACCACATAGTAATCAAAAGTTATAGTTTCATTCACTTCCAAAATCTGTACATAAACCAGCAGAGACTCAGGTTAAGGAGCGCGGGTCCCTGTGCCGGCTGGGCCCTGAGTGGGAGCCCGTGCCCACCGCTGCGAGGCCCTCCGATGATGGGCGTTTGCCTGCTTGTACACAGATACTGGGCTTCAGGACACCCTGAGTTGGAAGAAATTTCCTAACGTGTCAAGTAGTTCGATGTGGAAGCCAAAGGGACCCGTGTAGATAGGCAAGCTGATTTAGCTGTTACAAATATGAGCTCTGTGACCACGGGGACAGAAGTGGTGCCTTGGGGGTAAACTACAATCCCACGTGTTTCTGCATTTTTTGAAACTTGTTCTTTTTGTGTACTCTTCTTGGTAAAAAATAAATACTGGCCTTGATTCTTTGGAAACCCTGCAGAAACACTACGTTTGATTCCAGAGCTTTCCTCAAAGCCTTAAAGGTAAGATCCCTGAGAAAGTTTAATCAATTGCCCTTCAAGCTTGAGTTTTATGTTTTCCGCATCTCTGCCCCTTTGATGTGTGTACTTCTCTCTGCCTCAAACCCTTTATGAATTTTTAGTCCTCTGTGAGAAACCTAAGGCTTAGTTAGTATTGGGTCTTCCCTTATAAGTTCACTTTTGTGTTTTTTAAAGTAAATTTTGAGTAAATTCCAAGTGAATCCTGAGGCGATACAAATTCAGCTCAATTGCTTATATATCCTTTGAATTTTGGTATAATCCAAATCTAAGTATACTCTATACAGATACTTATGGTTTTGACATAAAGGTGCTTTCAATTTAGGAATAAAAAATAAAAATTATGTTCTGAATATTGTGTATACTAAGTAAGCATAGGTATTTTTTTTCATTAACCCTCACCTGAGGATATTCCCCCCCCCATTGATTTTTAGAGTGGAAGGGAGGGCTGGAGGGGGAGACACACACACACACACACACACAAACATCGACGTGAGACACATTGATTGGTTGCTTCCCACATGCGCCTTAACCAGGGCCAGTGATAGAACCTGCAACCCTTGATCGGCGCCCTTGATCGGGAATCGAACCTGAGGCTCTTTGGTGCGTGGGCCAACTCTAACCACTGAGCCACACTGGCCAGGGCTGTGCAAAAGTATTTTTAAAAGTAGTTGAACCTTGATTTAATGAAAGCATTCAATTACTGGGAGCAATTATTCTGCCAGCATTTTAATTAGTCAGGAGTTTATTAGACTTGCAATATAGTACCATTTCCTCTTTAAATTAAGATGGTTGGGGTCTCCTAAGAGTAAAGGATGTGCTCTGATTTAACAGGTTGATTTAGGTCTCGGTTTGCCCATGAAGTGCGATGCTTTAGAAAAGGCAGTTTCTATGTTCAGGTCCATTAGGTCAGATAAGCCGTCTGACATGAAGACACATATTTGGGGGCCTCTGGTGTTTCAGTAGCCGCTGAGGGGAAGGGAACAGAGCACCCGGCTGCCCTTTCCAAAGCTGTAACTTCGAATGAGCAGGAGAAGAGCAGGCAAAGGGGTTGCCTTGGATCAGCCAGAGCTGGAGGGAAGTGGGACTGGAAACTGGGGAGAAAGGAAGTGGAATTGGAATGACTAGGTAAACGCAAATGGGGGCAGATTTCAGATTAGTTTACTTAAAAAAATAAAAGGTTCTGGGGAGGGCGTGGGAGCCGGGCAGAGGGAGCCACTGGGAAAGAAAAGGGGACATCTGTAATACTTTCAACAATAAAAATAGCTTTTAAAAAGAGGTTCTTTAAGATTTTTCATGAAGGTTTCCAAATGTACAGGAAAGTTGAGGGAATCATCCAATTATCACTGGTACAGTTACCACTTAGAGTTAGCAGTTAACCTTTCACTATATTTGTTTTCTCTCTCCCCTAAAAATACCAGACATTCTCTAATTTGACTATGATATTATTATATCTAAGACAGTTAAAAATGTTTTCCTAATATTATTTAATATGCAATCTACTCAAATTTTTCTATGTATTATCAAAATATCTTTTATAGTTTAAAACCCAAAACACAAACCAGGATCTAGTCGAGCTTCATGCATTGTCCTTGGTGGTTATGTGTTTTATTGTCTTTTATTCTGGTATAGACACTACACCTTGTTTCTCCCATGACACTGACTTCTTGAAAAGAGCAGCCAGTTATCTTGTACAGTGTCCCACATTCTGGATCTGTCCATTTCCTCGTGGTGGCATTTAACTTCTGTCACTTGTATTTCCCATAAATTGAAGGTTAAGTCTAAGAGCATGATTGGATTCAAGAAGTTTGGGGCAAGAAGTTTTCTTAGATGATGCTATGTACTTCGAATTGTATCCCATCAGGAGACGTGAATGAAAGGTTGCCCTGTCAAGTGAAATACTGTCTGATCACTCAGGATGGTGGCCTCCGGGTCTCTCCATTTCCCCTGTGCAATTAGGTAATCTGTGCCGTGGTGCTTCGGAACCGCGCAAAAATCATCTTCCCTAACAATTGTTACCTGACGGCCTTAGCATCCAAAGATGATCCTTGCCTGAA